GTTTCCCCCGCCTGGACACCCCCCCCCCCCCACCGGTTGTAACACAGCTGCCATGACAGGCTCTCTGCCCACCAGCCCATGGCTTTGCTTCCACAGTCACTAATTAAGCGAATCATAATTATTTCTGCTAATTTGGATGCATTTGGAGTAGTTTTTAGACCATGGTAATTTGGTCATTACACATTATCTTCTACTGAGCCTGAGACTCTCAGAGTGTCAAATTTCTGTTCTCTATCCCAAAACTGCTCTTGGTGCTTCCAGAGTTATCTGAAGCATCATTCAGCCAGCTGATGCAGAGTGGGACTTTCTGCCCCCTGAGGCAGCAGCTGCTTTGGTGTGGGTTCTTGAACCTTGAGGTGACAGGTGAAAGTGTTCAGGCTCACAGGCAGGCTGTGGCTAGGGGGTCTGCCCAGGCGGGTTTCCCTCACTGCTCAGCTCCCCTCAAGGAGCGACCAGGAAAATGCTGGTGTGTGTCCTGGCCCCCAAACCCAGGCTGCTTGATGGCTCTTGTGTGGCTCTGCCAGACCCAGAGTTGGGGTCCCTGGCTCTTCATTCACAGCAAGAGACGCTGAAATTGAATTAACTCCTCTGACAAATAGATCCAACCTTCCCATTTTGGCATATGGTCCGCTGGTGTTCTTTTCCATGGATGTATTTTTGTCTCAGCAGCCAGAGTGACTTTCTGAGGAAGGAGGGGATGTGTTGTAGGCTCAGGGGGGGGTGGGGAGGGTGTGGCCTCTCCCTTGCGCCCTAGTGCAGATGGCTCAGAGTCCAGGGACCTCCTTCGACCCCCGCCCCAGCCCACTCTGCGTTGGCCAGTCCATGCATCCCCTCTCACCTCCCTCCTCCATTGCCACCCTGACCACTGTTTCCACCAAGGTCAACAACAGTCTCCTGGGGACAGACCCTCCTCTGTGGCTCTGTCCTAAATGTTCTTTTCATCTCTCTCTACCTCCTGTGTCTCAAACTGGTCTGAAGATATGTTTAATTTGATCCATGCCATTAAAACATTTTTTTGTATTGGCCAATATTTAAAAATCAAGATATTTCACTTAAAACCCTGTTTGCAACTTCTCTTGACACCTGGGCAGATCTGGCAGCACCAAGCCTGCCGCATTCTGCATGGCTGCAGTCAGCCCGAGCTGGGGGCAGGCTGCTGCCATGGCAGGGACAACCCGCCTTATCTAGCTCTTTATTTCCAAGTGATCACCCCGGCCCAACCCTACCCATGTCCCAGGGAATGCCACTCCACAGCCTCAATTTCTGCCCTTGCTGGTGACCCTCAGCTTTGTCCCAGCCCTCAGCCCTGCATCTGGCTGCCTCTTGGACACACTCTTGAACCAAGCTCAGCATCTGCCCCAAGCTGCCTCCTCCCAGGTTCCACCATCCCCAACCCAGAAGAGACTACCTTGGCCGCTCTCTCTGCCCTGTGCCCAGCCTATCCATCCCAGACTCTTCATTTCACTTTCCAAACACTCCTGAGTCACGACCATCCCTCGCAGTGGCTCACCTGCGGTTTTGGCTTTCCTGCTCCTTCCAGCCAGCCCGCCTCCTTCCAGACCAGGTTTCACCCATTACCGCCTTCTGCTGCTGCCTCAGAGAAAAGGTCCTCCCGCTCCCCCCACCAGCCCCTGCTCAGCTCCAGCCACACTCCATCCATGAGGGACCCCAATGCTCCTGCTTGTCTTGGTCCCACCTTGCTTTGGCCGAACCACCTCTGGGGAACTCTCCTCAGCAGCCGCCAACACGAGGCAGTTCTCCCCTCGAGGGTTCTCCAGCCCTTGTGCCCAGGTGTCCTTTTGTCCATCTGTGCCATCAGACAGAGCTCCCCACAAGCAGAGCTGTGGTGTGCCCAGCACGTGGCCAACCTCGGTGCATCTTCGTTGGCTGAGAGCACAACTGTTTCTCCTGCCGTGGAGGAATGAAATAAAAAAGGCTGCAGAGGGGACAGGCCCAGGCCAGCGAGGGGCCAGGACACCAGAAGGATGCTGTCAGCGGCCCCTTCCTCCACCTGCCTCCCATGTCTGGCCCTGCCCTCCTGGTTTACTTTGCAGGACTTGAGAGCCTTTAGGGAAATGGGACTCCCCGCAAAGGAAGAGACTGGAATCCCTTCTGCCTCACGTACGACAGAGCTAATTCTGGGCACCTTTTCTATTGACAGTCTTTGCCCACCAGGACTAAAAGGCACAACCTCTCGGTATGATTGTTTGTTTTTGCAAGAGAAACACAAGACTCTGCGGCTCCCGAGGACACGATTCGGGAATCAATAAGTTGCAGCAAATATTACGGTGGATCCTGGGGAGATCACACTGTCGATTAAGAGGGACGGGGGGATGAGGAGAGGCAGCCATGGCCTCGCCACTGCTGCGGCTGTCTTCCCTCTGTGAGAGTTCTCCTCAGTGGCCTCTGCACGTGTCCCTGTCCCTACCCAGACAGTGCTGAGTGAGGGACTGACACATTAAGATCAACAAATGGGCAGCCAGGGAGAAGCAGCTTGGAGCAGTGCGCAGCTGCAGCAGATCTAATCTAAACCTACTTTGACCATCTGAGCCTTGTGACCCTGGCCAACAACTTAACTTCTCTTGGCCTCAATGTATTCATCCATAAAAATGGCATGAATTTAGTATAATCCTTGTAGTTCTTCTAAGGACCGAGCAGGTGAAGTCCATGAAGCACTAAGCCTAAGTGCTAATGGAATGAATATTATTACTATTGAGGAAACAGAACTCCTTGCCTGAGGAAGATAGGGGACGATAGCGCCATCATGTAGCCTTTTGAGCATTGTGGTTTTAAAAATGTTTTGATTTTACAACAGGAGGCATCAGTGGTGTGGGATTTCACAGAGCCCCTCCAGGGGCAGGGGATCCTATTAAACAAGTTTGGATTGGGCATATGGGCAAGAAGTGAATGGTGAACATGTGAGTTTAGAAACAGCCCCAAATCCAGGCCAGATAGCCTGTTATCAAATAGACATTCCCCAGCCCCCTGCCCCCCCAGGGCAGTGAGGAAGGAAAGATGTGCATCTGGGCTGGGAAAGGGATGAAGAGCTGTAGGGAGCTAGGGGTGTTTGCTGATGGAAGTCCAGATGGAGGAGAATACCAGCCCAACTTCAGCAGTAAAAAGCAAGACAAGCCAACCGGGCGCTCTGAAACAGATGGCCCGTGATGTGGCTGCTGCAGCCCAGGCCACTGCAAGCTCAAGATGTCAGGGCAGCCACCCTGCTGTGGTGTGACCCTCAGTCACAACTGCAACAGGCAGCTTGGCCTCTACAGTCCACCTCTCTGGAGAGTCCCTGGCCTGGGGTCTCATCATCATAGAAAACCCAGCCTGGAATGGATTAGCCAAGTTTGGGGAAGGCAGCTGAGGCACAAGAGGGAGGAAAGCTCAAAGGAAGAGGGTGAGGGGTCGATGGAAGGCCTCCAGGGACAGATGCCCACAGTGGCCCCTGGGGAAGGACTCTTCCTTTGTGACCTCCAGCAGCTGTCCGGGAGAGCCCTAAGGCTGGGGGCCACCTCTCTGTGGCCACCCCTCACCTCTCCCAACCATAGCACTGACAAGGGCTCAGTCTTGCACTAGGAGTTACCATTACCCCCTGGGTAGGGCAGTTTCGAGTTGTCTCTGTGATGTACCATTGAGATGCTCATTTTTATGAAGCCAACCTTTGGAGACAGCCTGCCAGGGTCATCTGCAGATGGGGTGGGGGTGGAAGGAGGAGCCTCCCTGACCCACGCCACCCTGGCTCTGTCTTGGGTAAAGGAGGTGAGCAGAGAGGTGCGGACAGAGGTCTAGGAGAGTGGAGACATGAAGAGGCTGCTGTGGAGGAAAGAGAGCTGGGCTCAAGATGAGGCCATGGTTCACACGGGGCCAGCCCATGACACAGGGCCCAGAGCCACAGAGCCACAGGCCATAGCTCTCAACCAAGACTGGGGGACTGCAGGGCACCAGGGCCTCTAAAGCAGATGAAGGGACTTACTATGCAGCTAAAAGGGGCAGAGACCAGAGAGAGCAAGAGGGCAGGCAGGGTCTGGGGCTTCTCAGTGCAGGGAGGGCGAGCTTTGAGGCTGGATCGCAGTACAGAGTGACGCCCAACTTCCATTTCAGGGGCAAGGAGCACCTGGACATGATTGGGTCTAGGGTGTGACCAAGGGAGGGAGGAAAGAGCCACCAGACAGGAGTGGTCAAGAAACTGATGGTCATGCATTCGGATGGACGCTCTGGTCACCAGGAGAGGGCAGGAACTGGGGAGAAACTGCTGTGATTCCTGCATTTTCCCCCGTAATGTCTTGCATGGATTGCCTTTGGTACTTGCCACGCCACAGGAGAGTATTTCTTCCTGCATCTGCCTCACACACTGGACCCTAAGCTCCTAGAAGAAGGACATGTCCTGTCTTCCCTGAGCTCCTGAGTCTAGCCAGGAGCCTTGCACAGAGCAAGGCTTATGAGGGTTTGACCTAGTAGGTGGGTGGACATTGCCAGTGTCCCTCTGCGCTCAGAGCAGTTATGATGGGTGGGTGGCAACTGTGACACCTTCCTTCTCCCCACTCCCCCAGGTGCAGGTGGGAAGCACACCTCAGGACCAAAGAATTGTGGGGTACATCGCCTGCACACACCTGTACGCCCCGCCAGGTAGGGTCACCAGCCCGTGGTTTTCCAGGGGTGGGATCAGTATCTGGGGCCTGGCTGGGATCTGGCCATGAGTTTCATCGTCAGGTCTCTCTGCTTCTCCCCTACAGAGGACAGTGCCATCCGTTGTGAGCAGCTGGACCTGCTTCAGGACTGGCTGGCTGATTTCCGAAAATCTACCTCCTCGTCCAGCGCAGCCAACCCCGAGGAGCTGGTGGTGTTTGACGTCATCTGCGGAGACCTGAACTTTGACAACTGCTCCTCTGGTGAAGCCGTGCTCCCCCCCACCTGGGTCTGCTACACTGGGAGGGCATGGGCTCCAGCCACAGCTAGAAAGACTTGGGTTAGGCAGCTTGAAGAGCTTCCTGTTCCTCAAGAGAGTGTGGGTGGGATATTTAGCAAGACTATGATTTCTCTGACCCCTAGAAATCCTAGGACAGGAAGAGCCCACACTCTCCCTAGAAAGCTCAGAGGCCTCCTTGCTGGAGACAAAGATGCCCTAACAACGAATCTCTGACAAGGAAGGCTTGGAGCCTCTGACACTCAGACTGAGGGGATCGGCTAATAGTACTCATCAAGTATTTATTCAGCCTTACTTTGCACCAGGAAGGCCTCAAGGTCACTGTCCCTTGGAGCCCAAGAGGGATGGTGACTACTGTTCTCAGACAGAGGGAAGGCTAAAGGCCAGAGTGTGTATGTGTTGGTGGTTGTGGGAGCATTCTCAAGGACACAGAAAACCAGTGACAGATAAACCACAGCCCACTTGTCTGGAATCATCACAGACTCCACTCAAGGGCGGTTACCTAAGGGACAGGGACCCAGTGACATCTGGTAGGAGTAACTGACTGGAACCAGAACAGGGGCTGCAGGCCCTTCAGGACAGGCCAGACACCCTATAGCCCTCAGCATTCCTGTCTCCATCCTTCCCTCCCCACACAGATGACAAGCTGGAGCAGCAGCATTCCCTGTTTACACACTACAAGGACCCTTGTCGCCTGGGGCCGGGGGAGGAGAAGTCATGGGCCATCGGTGAGCTGGGGCTGGGGGAGGGGCCGGGGGGCTGGGCTACCCACAGGCCTCCCGAGAGACCACCAGGACTTGCCCCTAAGGCCCCACTGCTGGGGAAGGGCCCCAATCAACTGCCCCAGGCTAGCAGAAGCCTTTGCACACCCCATCTGCCCCCACCCCCAGAGAGGCCATCCTCCTCAAGGCTGGCCAGGCCCTGCCTGCAGTGACCACTCTTGGCCCCTCATCCCCCAGGTACCCTGCTGGACACGAATGGCCTCTATGATGAGGAAGTCAGCACCCCTGACAATCTGCAAAAGTAAGCACCCATGCTGCTGCAGGTGGGTGGGGGACCCCCAGTCCAGACCAGCTCCCAGGTCTGGGGTGAGGCACCGAAGCCCTGATTCAGGTGGTAGAGAGACCATGAGGGAGAGCTCAGCTCAGACCAGTGAGGGCTTTTGTTTGGTGACCGAGAACTGGCCAGGCAGGTGGAGGCTGTCACAGCCCACATGCCCATGGAGCTGGCCTTGCTGAGAAATCTCAGAGTGGGCCTGGAGTCTCCAGGGGGTGTTTCCTAAACCAGCAACCAGAGTCTGGGCTCACTTGGTAAGAGCTCACCCTGGCCCTAGGCCCCAGCCTTTGGGCCATCCCTGCCTGGTGTGGGAAAAGGGACCAGAATTTCCCTGGGACAGGTCAAGGATCCACCCCTATAGAACAGCCACTGGGCACAGTGTCTGCTCAAGGGAGCCTAGAGCATGTGGCACCAATTAGGCAAATAAAAATACAAGCAGAGATAACACAAGCCGGTCACTTTCAAAGGAGAGACAGTTCCATCCCAGCCAAACTTCAGTCTTGAACCCAGTGAGACTTCTATAAGGGACACATTTGAGAGGCTGACAGCAGAGCCAATTTATAATTCACAGCTCGAGATTGCACAGAGTCACGACAACGGTTCCTTGCAGCTAATTTAAGCCAATTAATTAGATTATAGACTAAATTTGAAACATCAGCCTATGCCGAGAAAATTATCTTTTTATGAGATGATGATTAAAAAATGACTATCAGGGCCGGCCCGGTGGCGCACTGGATAGTGCGCCACTTGGGAAGCGCGGCGGCGCTCCTGCCCGAGGGTTCGGATCCCACATACAGACCGGTTCCCGCTCACTGACTGAGCGAG